GATCGTAGCCTCATCTTGTCACCGTACCGGAAAGCTGACAAGTCAGGACTACAATTTGAGAACATCAAGAAGGTATTTGCTAGGAATTGCATGAAGCCAGCTGCCTCAGAAGGAGGATTACCGGAGCTGGTGTTTTGAACCCCATATACCAATCGATCTACTTTTACCCCACACACAAAAAGTGCCACTGTTTGTCATCAGGGTGGGGATCCAAACTTGTGAACCAGTCCAAGGTTCCAACAGATGTCGTTGCTTCCAGACAGAAAGGACCAACTGAAAGGACTAATATTGACGGTGGCACCTGCGGCGAAGCATCGCTTCTTGGATTCTGCCCACAAGATGCATCATGATGTCAGCTCAACTAGGCAGGATCATCAGGAACAGTCGAATGAACGCATGCAGCGCCGGCTGATGCGCCAGAACCGAAGGCAGATATGATGCTCAGTTCGAACTAGAAGGACAATGGAAGGAAATGGCACATCACAAATGTGGTCGCAACATCGGTAGTTGGTTATCTGTATCTGACTGTTGGGTCGGTGGTTAGCCTTCTTTGGTTTCACTGTAAGCTTATAGACTTCAAGTGGTTGGCTGATTCACCGCGGTGTCGAACACCGACCAGCTGATAAAAGTAGCTTCGCCGCATAAATTTGATCCGATTGAAGTATATCGCAGACGGAATAGCACGGATGCCCAATCAACACATGATAGTCAATCTGCTTCTTGTCCTAAAGGTTAGTGAAACATTCACAACTGACGTCAAAACACCATTTACTGGCTCTTAATTTTGGTGACGTAGAGTATAGATAGACCCGATGCACTGCCTGATTGTTTATTTGTCTGCAGTCATAAGAGTGTTCCAAGAAACCAGCCAAAGTCCCAGTGTCGATTGATTTCAACTTGTGTACCTACGTCTTGTGGAAATGACGATGAATGAGTGGCATGAAATGTTTAGCAGATGAGTTTTCAGCAGACCGAAACTTACAAAAAGGCAACTGCACCAAGTTTAACCTAGCTGAGGCTCCTGCAATCAGTGATAAACAGACCGTACCAGTAATAGAACACCCAAGACGAAAATATCCCATGATAAATCTCGTGTTGACTGTGTGAAAGCCCTGATTATATCTGGCGCCGTCAAAAATTTGTTGTGTAAACACACGTAATGCACCAGTGCGATAACAAACAGATTTTGCTACTTTTCGAATGAATGACGGGAACATCTTTAAGACTGGCATGCGAAAACGAACGGCATGGGACTGCAAATATCACAGAACAACACGAAGTGTGAAAGTTTATTTGTGATGCGTGTCCAAACTGGTTACTAGTGGCCGCGATTAGATGAGAAACTTCGAATATGCTATTCAAATCTTGGCTTTCCGATCCTGAAGTGTTCATCTCTTCAGTAGACTTCAGAGCCAAAGTTTCGACGCGCTATAATTGTCCACTGAATCAATGTTTTCCCACAAAGTGAGAATGAAATAAACCTACCGGAATAACGAAAGATTTCATTCTACATTTTCTGCACAAGTCTAGATCATCGAGGCGAATCCGCTGTTTGTTCAGCAGGTATATACGAAAAGCCAATAGAATGAAGCTTCCTGGAATTCACAAGGTGATAAGTTCTTCCCCTTTTTCTGCCCCACGATCATGCCTGTACAAAGCGAAATTGTGACGTGGCAAACCATGATAAATGTGAAGTACTCTAGCCACCTTTTAGTCCCTCTAATCATTCTTTTTTCGTCATGATGCGTTTTTTTCTGGCAGGTAATTTGTTTTATATTGCATACGATTAGCGATTCTTCTGTCTACGAACGAAGTAACTGCATGAATCAAACTAAACATCAAATCAGCATTGATCCGCTAGTAATAGGAAGAGTAAATCACGGGACGAGTGAGACTCCACTCTGAGAGATCATCACTCGAGAAACGAGTCACATCACGTGACCACGTGATGTGGATGTACAGACTAAAGCGTGAGTGGTGCTTTATTGTCTGTTGCTCAGCCTCTCGTGACCGAACGACTGAGTGTTTAAACTACTAGCCAAGAGGTCGCGGGTTAGAGACTCTCCGGAGTTTCGTGAGACGCGAGCTGCTAGTGATTCCCATCAAGCCGTTCAGTTCTTGTCGGCTTTTCAGTGGCTTCAGCACGAAACCTCAATGGATAATTCTCAAATCTTGGTCCAGACGAAAGTCTAAATTGTAGCCTTCAAGAGTTATTCCATTCCCATGCTCGAACGGGAAGTCATTCTTGATCTGAGTGTCGAGAGGCAAGCAGATCAAATGCGAGCAGTGATGAACTTCCAATGGGATCTGTGGAATTCACCAATTTATATGGAGTTTTCGCTGCGAAATTTCCCTAAGTTTATTAAATAATGCGGTAGAATTTTATGGCATTTCTACGTCAGACGCATCGCACGGAGTCAACTTTCACATCAGTCCCGTTTGAACAATCCTTCACCTGTCCCCACACATTTATCCTGTTGAGCCTACACCAAACCGGGGAAGTGCTGGACTCGAGTTTTTCTCTTAATAGAGCTCGTCAGCGCATTTGCAATGCGAGGTGGGCGTGTTACCACTGTTCCATGAGCGCACGCTGGACGCACCTGAATTACTGAATCCCCCGACTACTTATAGCTATTTTCCACAAGGCTTCAAGCGTCCGTGGCGCTACCTGACTGAGAAGTCCTGGCATACAGGTCAAACGATCGCTAAAACAAGGACACTTACTAAGTCGTCCTTCGAGGGGCCAACACGTTCATCAGTTCTGACCGTTGGTGAATGAAATCCTTCACCATGGCAATAATGGACGTCTCTCTGTGTGGGCTCTCAGCAGTACTGCCCGTCTTCGTTTCTTTACTCATTCACACCTGTTAACTTACTCTCTCATTCAAGCTCCAAGCCTTTGATCTGCGTTGTGTCATACAGTATCCCGAATCTGAGGAAAATATTCAAGTAGAACACAATGCTGACGAACGCTCGGGAACTGATGAGCCCAGTCTTGTGTTTCCGGAGAGCTTACAGCAACCTTATGAGTAGTGTTTTAGGTATGAACAATGCATCACGGTGTTTCGAATGCGATCAATTCCGGTTGGAGTAGAACTTGAATTTAAGATAAACTTGTGTCTACCTGATGGACCTGAAGTGGAATGGCGAGACCGGTCGCAAGCTGCGTTCTGATTCAGAGCGGTCGCCAAAGCATCGGTGGAACAACCTTTCAGAGCGAACCCCGTTTGACATGGGAAAAGACACCCTTCGTTCTAATCCTCAATCCGATTTAATGCATGAATGCATCAAGGTTGATCTGTTCGTGCACGAGTAACACCTATGGGTCTCTGTTCCTACCTAGGCTTCTCAGATTAAAGTGAACTTGCATCGATAGAGCGCCCTCTTCCAAAACCGGTAAACTGGCTTCGCAACCTCTTTGAGTGTTGTGTGCTAGTTGCGCGCGCGACCGAAGTTCTCTCAAGTCCCACATTGACACCACAAAGATTAAAATTTATCTAACGCTTTGTTCCGTCCACATCAAAAGCTGCTCTCTCTCTCCCATCTACTGTCTTCAGCATCAATGCCCCCTTATTTCCCTCCAGTGCTCCGCTTTCACACGGACTCGTGACACTCAAGTGAGGACTGCTCACGTTCGCAGCACCATTCGGGTGATGTTCATCTATCCTGACAGCATATAGTATCTACCCCCTGTGTTTCTTCCAGTTTGCTTCGATCCATTATGCACTGAGCAGAGAGGCCGGATTGTGTCTCCCTGTCTTCATCTTTTACTGCCGTTTAAATCCCTTGCTCTTCCAAGCTGCTGGTGCGGTAGGTTAGTTATTCCTGCGGACCCCGAACTCGGCACACGGCACCCCAGACTGCTGGGAAGCCCAGATTTGTCCTATCATACAATTTCGCCATATATTTTGAGTGAGTCTCCCCGTCTCATACCCTTAACTCTAATCAAGTTCTGGAGTAAGTCATTTACCTCATACCCACTTCCTTTCGACTGGTAACCTACAACCCTGTGTCAACTTTTAACAGCCCAGTCTGTATTAGGCCACTGCGGTCATCGGTTACATTCTCTGAAGATTGTCCCTGCATTTCCACATCGCTAAGGCTTTTTACACGAAATCCAGCCTTCTGTAGTCTTCAGCTTATCTTTCCCAAGTTGACAGTCTATAATTCCCCCTTCATTGTTCTCACTAACTCTTCAACTAATCCTTAACAATCTACACTCGAAATGTTGTAACTGCATTTTAATTTATTATTTTTATTACATTTTCACGACATTCCGTTAGAAGAGGTGTGTGGCAATTGGTTTCTGTTGCTCGGTAAGCAGCGTTACCTATAAGAGTTCTTTGATGTGCAAGGGCACCTGGATCCCCAATCACGAGGTAACCTCACCTCATTGGTGGGCTGGAGTGAGCAGAAATAGGCTTGCTTAAATATCCCCATAGATTGAATGGGAACACAGTGACGAACACTAACGTTTTCGGGATCTCGTCATCAGGTCAGTACATATCTAATGGTTAAAGTAGGAGCGAAAAAATGAAATACGCAGCGAAAAAATGAATATACAGCGAAGATTGGCTAGTGAAACGTGGAGACACGAACGATTGGTTGTCTGCACCCCCACGTCGCGTCTAGTTGGATGCTGTGAGATAGCCTAGAGGGTCGTTGAGTGACTTGGTCGGTGTCACATGACCAAGACAGACTAAGCGTTAATTTAGTAGGAAAGTTATCAAATCTTTCTTTGCCCAGATACCTTTCTTGTGGAGCCATATGATGACTATCTAAGCCATCTCTTCGCCAAGTTCAGTTGAGCACATTTTATGTTGAGGTCAAGGCTAGCCAAGAAGGGTGCTGCTAGCTTCTAGAAGGCTAATCGCAATGGCTTGCAACGAACAGCCCACGTCCAGGACTCTCCCTATCTTCAATAACAGTTTTCGCAAGAGATTGCCGGCGAATTTCGCCGTCCTGTCAGCACTCATTGGAGACCGATGTGGCCCTGAGCCATGACGCTAGTCGGGGCTACCTACAGAGTGGACTACACCTTAGTCCCCCCAACATCCGTTGCGACCACGAGACGCCTGACGAAGAAACCGGCAGCCTCAAAACTGTTTCAGTACCTAGGATTAAGTGCAACCATACTCGAAGCATTCGAGCTTTTGGTAATAGTCACGTGTGTATCTGAACCTGAAATGAAGCATCGCAACAGTCCCGTACAATCTTATGCAACGTTTCGCCTTCTTGATCTGGACGTCTTAGAGACAGGTTGGACCGTCTCCTGTGATAGTGGAAAAGCGGAAGAGTGCAAGCAAATTCCAGAAGGTGTACTATCTATATCGTTGCTCTCTTCAATCTGAGTGATGTTACTGGGTTCGCCGTGGTGTGTACTTGACAGAATGCTAACCACCATAGGTAAGTCCGGCAGTGAGACGACACCAACGGCGAACGGAAACCTCGACGCACCACAGTTCGCCCACATCTTGAATACAGCACAACCACTAACCCACCGCTACGCACAACTACGCACTGATGATGTCACCTCGATTGGTGGTGAAACGTTTGCAACCAAATTGCCCAGCTCAGCGAACAAGCCAACGACCATACAGCTTAAGTAAATTACAGGTTGTAGTTGGAAGTCTTGAGCTCCCACATACGGTAACATGGCTTCACCGGAGATGACCTGATCAGATGTTGATCTGTTGCTCAACAGTAATGAAGAGGCCATCGCTTTACTTCTGAGTTCAGATGCTTGAGGAAATCGTTGGTACCGGAGTGTCGACAGAGTCACTGTTGGTCGGTAGCAAAATGTGCAGTACACAGTTTGCTTCGAAGGATTGATCGTCCAAACTTCTGATGTTTAAGGCTACTTGATAAGCCCAAACAGGAAAGATACCGGTAGTGGGCCGTCCGTCTATTTTCAGCAGCCGTCCCATACTACTTATTTTTTCACGAGTAGAGTGCCCGTGTCCCATAAGACAAATTTACTTGGGTCGTCAACCCATGGAACCCATCGTCCTAGAAGAGGCTAAGTTGGACGAACATCTTAGAGCTCTGTGATGTTGATTTCGATAATACAACTGACCAATAAAAGCAAGTTGAAACGGACTTCGTCAACTCCCGGCACGAAAAGTCCTTATCTTCACTTGTGCTATGGGTATGGGACTCACTAAGAGTTTTACTCACTAACCTAGACAGCCAGAATAAGGATTCATCCTGTCAGGAAGGTCAGATTCTTGAAAATAATCTCAGAACGTCCGGAACCTACTGCTCCACCAAAGTCTCAACAGGAAAGCCGGCAAGCATCCAGGCCAGTCAATCATTCAATCAATTCAGCAAAGGCTGATGAGTGTTCATACATGCCACAGAAGCACCATCGAATGTGATCAGTGTTCAGGCATTTCATAGAGGCACGGTCGACGTTGACGGGTGTTCACTAACACCTATCAGACAGCCTAGATCAAGGTTTGTGTTCCTTTCTGTGAGCCTTTTTGGGCACTGGAGCTGGTCGGCAGCAGATACCACAGATTGGCGAATCAGCAGATATAGCATCCCAACACAACCTCTCGGCAAACTCGTCCAACTAGGAACTACTGTCCTTTATGATATCTTATCAAGAAAGAGGACTGGCCAACTTGGAGAACCTTGGCTCCGTAATCAGCCCAACGTCTGCGTGTTGATTTTGTTCGGCGTGGAGAATGTGTTCCAGCGATTCACTTTCCTCTAACAAGCCAACTTTCCCCCAGTGTGTCGGTAAAATATAATTCGATCCCCACACCATTACAACCAAGTCGCCGACTGACGTCCGCCAAATTAGCTACTTTTTGCCTTTTCGCCCTCAGCAACCGAACCGCAAATAACAGGCAGGTGAACCAGCAACCGTCCGTACCGACCGAACAACTGTTGTGATTACCGCGAATGTGTGGTGATCTTATCATCGGAACGGCAAATGAAATTGTACTACAACACCTCTAGAAAAAAGACGGTACTACGTCAAACCGTGAAGTGAATCACTCGTTTCAATCATGTTTTTGCGTTCGCACTTCCGGTAGCAGACGAGGAACAGTGCGCAGCTTTTCCTACCGGCGAAGAAACTACAACACCGAATCACAACATTCGAACGCAACTGAGAGATGTGATGCAGTGAGTAGTGATCATATCCACAAGGCAACTTTCTTCACGAACCAATGAAAATTCGATCAATAAATACTCTCATTAGAGCGTGAACTCAGTCTACAGTAGCCTTATGAGTAGTGTATTACATCCAGAACAAAATTCTCTCTCCTAGTTCATAACGTAACATTCTTCAAGGGGCTAGTTTTGGCTTCCGAAGAACCGGAATATATTCGGTTTTGACTAAAGAAATTATTCAGCAAATGTATGAACATACCGTGAATAGAACCACATCGACCAGATGAAAAAACAATGGAAACATGAATGTTGTTTACAAAACTAAGTGCGAGAATCGGGACAAACACCACATGGGACAAACCTTGGAAGCAACCGAGAAGAACCACTGCGCACGAGTCACTATCAACACTCCCTCCAGTCTGTACGTAAGGACCAGAAAAAACGCGAATTCAAGCAAAGAGACGGTCAGGTGGGGACAAAGACAGGAGATGGATGGAGGGGGCCTGATAAAACAGGAAACCCCGAAGTCAAAGAAACTTTAGAGCCACCAAACACTGAATCATGCAGGGGAGCAAAGGAGAAAGCAGCTGAACTTTTAAAAGCGTCCGAATTCAAAGAAAAATTGTGTCGGATCAAAAGATGCAGCCGTCAAAAGTACCAGCGAACCCAATATTTGGATAAGCTTGAAAACATAATCCGCCTGTAAACTAATCAACAAGGCGCAGGAAAAAACCGCAAGTTGGGAATGAAGGAAGGAGAGGAACTACGAAAAATGGAGACTGATCAAGCCACACGAAAGCGGACTACGACGCAGGACAGATGGTATATGAACCAATCAGTCAGTGACAGGTGACTTGTAAATAGCCAATCACGTTAAACGTAATCTATGAGCTACATAGGTGGAAGCATCAAAAGAGAAGGTACCCGCACATGAAGATCTCTGTCTGAGTAGTGATGAAAGGCTCGCAAATCAATTGCCAACCTCGGTAATCTGACCAATGGCTAAATCATCAAACACTAACAAATGTATCCAAGATATCACAGTATTTCGACACACTGTCAACTAGTCTAATGAATCAGTTAGTACATCCTGATCCCCTGTTTTTTTATTGATTATCAAATGATCTATCATCAATCATGGAAAAAAACAATGGCTACACTGAACCTGCATTGGATTTAGGGGGCAATACACCAAAAGGACATATCTGTCATCCCCAGAGACCAGGCAACATGTTTGCACACAAAGGGGTGATTGTGTCCAGCTGAGGACCGAAAAGTGTGGACTAGCGGAGAAGTCAACTGCCTAAAGAGTCCACAGGGGCATTTTCGTTTTCCCCTCAGTCCGCTTTGAGACCTCTTGAACAGAGACAATCTTCAGTGGAGTATATAAACATCCGTTGTCAGTGGTGATGACTTAAGAGAGATTGCGTTCAAGCAAAATACACCCATTTGCCAACCATTTCGGTTCTGACAGGAGAATCATCTGAAAACCAGCCGAATCTCTCGTTTATGATGTTTTAGGTTCGAGGTTTCCTTACACACTCTTTGGCAATGAGACGTACTCACGCAATGTTTCACCTTACTAGATAGCATAGCCATTTACCAAGTCGAGTATTTATTCAGGCAGTCTATCTCGAAAATTCTTCCGTCAGTGTAGCAGTCACTAGCGGCAAGTCCAGGGATCGCTCAATATAGTTTCGATTTAATCGGGCTACCCACATGATTCATCCATTTTGCAAGCCTTTCCTTGAACTGACACTCCAAGAGGAAATGTTATCTCCGAACTGCTTGATTGGAGTACGAACGGGTCTTCTGCAGCTCATGTTGAGTATTCAAAACATCCAGGTTGGATATAAACCCTTGCAGAAGTGGAATCCCTTGGTTGCCCATCTGTCCAAGTGTATTCAAACGACAAGCGGAACTACGTGTGACTGCTTTCTCCAGCCTCAGAGCACAGTAGAGAACAGCAAGCACTTTATCGATTTCCCACAAAATAGGATAGTGAGTATTCGTCATCCGTCTCAAACTCGTGTTACGGTTGGTTCTCCTACACATCAATGAATTTACGACGATTTGCCAGAACCTCCGATTTGATGCATCGAAAACTGCAACACAGTCGGATGATTAAATCGGTCCACTAGTTGGCATGCGCAGACAGCGCGTGGTCAACATCTTTCATCTTTCAAGGTCACTCCCAATGTGAAGCACAAGGGTCAGTCGGCGGTATTTAACACACATGCGAGTGGAAGCCTGGATAGTGAGTATCTTCTCGGCAACTGAGGAATCTTTGAAATAGTTGTGCTGTCGCAAAGCAGATGAAATGGAATGTCTGGAAATTTTCCGCTCAAGAAGATCGATCGCCGGACTCCAATTGGAAACAAATTTGGATAATGGGGGAAAAGAACAACTTGAACTGTGTATGCCAAACTACCGTCCATCGATGAAAACGTCGTTTATTGTTCCAAGTGAGTGTTGACGAAAGGTTTGTGAGGGACAGCCATCACACGGCATTGTGAAGTGAAAGCGGTTACTGTCCAATTGTGTGCTGTGAGATCGAGATTTTTTCCAGATAAGCCCCATCACTTTTGCCCGCTCCAGTTCAATGTACGCACACAACCTTGACCTATTTTTGATGAAAACACTTCCTTATCCGCATCTAGGCTCTTTTTGTGCAAAATTTTCTCTGTTCGAACTTAAAACCTTAAATGAACATTCTGACGCTTTCAACCCTCGTTCATGACAAGGAGACGGCAATACGTTATTTGCAAAGCCACGGAGCGATCCATCAGCAACTTTTATGCACCAATGGCCACCAAATGACACTATCAACTGTTTCTGACAGGTGGAGGTGTAATGCCCGACAGTGTCGGTAAGAATCGGTCTTCGAAAGGGAACTTGACCGGAGCGGTGTAGGATGGAGTTTAGGATAGTATTTCTACTCATTGCTGGTCCAAAAATCTGGCAAAAAACCAATTCTGCTCAGTGGAACTGTCCATTAGCCACATGACCGCTGTTGACTGAAAGAACGTTCTTCACGATCAGTCATCCTCTCTGATATATGGGCATCATACTAAGGAATCGAAACGATGATTGACATGAAACGGTTAGTCGTACTTTGTGGATCCAGCGACTGGGGCTCATACACAAACCATCGAATTTCTTTGACACCAATGCGGTACACACCGAGTTTTAGTGGACAGCTACTTGTGTGAGTTAGATTGAAGGGAAA